TCTAGCAGTAGCCTGCAGTGCTGCATTTAACCACTGCGCCACCTTGGCTCTATTTCAAAGGCTGTGAATTATGTCCATTCACAGCCCGTAATGAGTCCCAAACACTTTGTAAAGAGCCCGACTGAAGGCTGCCAAAGTCTTTCAGGATGAGGACCCACCTTTGTCTTCCTTGAAACGCTGACAAAAGGCTTCATTGGCAATCAGCCTGGCAAGGCCACAGGGAGCACAGAGTCAAAACGGAGCCTCAGAATTTAAACCGACCAGCATGAACAAAGTTGCTTCCTCCAAAGGCTCACGTGAGTCCCTTCTGGGAAAAGGGCAGCATAGAAATATAATAAATTCAATGTGCCTTTGCTCCTCCTTTATGTCTTGTGGGAGGGGCCAATCATCTCCCAGTCTCACTCCCAAGTCGCCCCTTTTGTCTTAACTGTTCTTGTCTTCTGGAAGCTCTGTGCATGCGCACACTGGGAACAGGCGCACCCTGTTCCTCTTCCTTGCTGATGTCCGACTCTGGAGGCTCCGGAGGCAGGACATAACTCCCAGACGGCCCTGACCCCCCCCCCATGCCCCGACGCAGAAACCTCGTCCGAGCCTTCCCCAGACTCCAAGACTGGCCCATGTTCTTCCCCTACCTCCTCACTGTCCGGCTCTGCTGCCAGCTCTGCAGGACGCTGGCGGACCCCAACCGTAAGATCACTGACCAGCCCAGAGCCCAGAAGAGAGATGGGGACGCAGCACTCAACGTTTCTCTGCTCCCCCAAGCTTGGCCAGAAATCTCAGTGGCTCTTCCTTGGGTGCAAGGGTTCAGCCAGCTCCAGGTCCACCTAATGGTAACATCCAGCCCAGGTTTTCTCATCTTCTCTTTGAGGATCTCATGGAAGCTTCGAAGGCTGAACTCCAAGGGGTCCTTCATCCACACGGACCCTTGTGGACCGGCCGAGAGAGACTTACTCCGGATGAAAGCAGCGGGCTCCCCCCCATCAGCCGTGCTTTCCCTCTCTGGACATTACGATGTGCTATCAAGTCTCTTGATGCAGGGGGATCCGTCCCCAACCTGGTCAATCAATCAGAGCCCCCCATGATAGGTGGAGGTGGAGACTGAGAGGACCCAATTGAAGTGCACCGCGGGGCAAAAGGACGGAAATGGTTTCCTTCATTATTATTATTAATTACTTCCAAGCCAGTTCTTATATCCCAGCCAGGAAAGAGTTCAAGGTATCCCCCCAAATTGCAACCTTTCTGGCCTCTGAGGAATACCTGGGGATCATCCTGGCCCCCTTCATCCTCTTCCTCCCTTCTTGGTCTTAGGAATCTTCATTAAACACCCAAGGCCAACAGCAGCTGTCTCTCTCTCTCTCTCTCTCTGTCTCTCTGTCTCTGTCTCTGTCTCTCTCTCTCTGTCTCTGTCTCTCTCTCTTCTCTCCTCTCTCTCTCTCATTTCCTCCTCGCCTCCCTCTGGCTTCCCTTCCCGGCCTCTTTCCTCTCCGTTGGCCAGCCAAAAAGAGCCCCCCCCTCCTCCATCAAACCATTTTTCTCAATGGCCGCCTCCCCTGTCTTAGCTGAGACACTTCGGGGGTGGGGTGGGGGGGGTGTTGGCCTTTCTGGCCACCAAGACCAGGAAATGAAGGTGGTTAGGAAAGAACAGAGTAATGAAGTTGGAAGGGACCTTGGAGGTCTTCTAGTCCAGCCCTCTGCTCAGGCAGGAAGCTATGTACCATTTCAGACAAATGGTTCTCCAACTTCTTCTTAAAGACTTCCAGCGTTCGAACACCCAGAACTTCTGGAGGCAACTTCTGTTCCTCTGATTAATTCTTCTATCTTGTCAGGAAGTTTCTCCTCAGTTCTAAGTTGCTTCTCTCCTTGATTAGTTTCCACCCATTGCTTCTTCTCCTGCCTTCGGGTGCTTTGGAGAATAAGTTTCCCCCCCCCCACTCTTCTTCTTCGTGGCAGCCCCCCCCCCGACAGTTCTCCCCATGGGGGCGACCAGGATCAGCAAAACAGAGTCCGCTCCCCTCACTGCTGCTGACCTTCTACTTCTCTTTCCCCCCCCCCAAAAAAAACCCCTTCCGTGAGCCCACAAAGTGGCTGCTGAATAACTCGCTCAGAATGGACCCCCAATGCATCCCCCCCCCTTCAACCCGCAGCGGCGGCACCAGGCAAGACCGACAGGCTTCCTTCCAGAGGTTCGGTTCCCACCAGCTGGGGGTTCACCAGAGAAGGTGCCCCCCCCCCCCTCCCCGGAAATCCAGGGCTCTGAGGTGGTCCAGGAGGGCTTCTGGTCCGCAGGACACCAGGACTGGCACATGAAGGGAGCAGCATTTCTGGAGCCCTGCTCACCCGCAGGGAAGACTTCATACAGGCTGGCAGTGCCCTTTCCCAGGGCAGCCCCAACACCCGGCGTCTCCCGTCTCTGGCTGGGCAGAATGCCTGAGCACAGTCTCTGCTGCTGGCTGAGCTGCATGGCTGGGGTTAGTCACCACGGGAGATGAGACAACGTGCGTTTCCCACACAAGCCGAGATCTGGGGAAAGGAAACCCCCACCAGTCCCACTTCCTCCACGGCTAGGAAGGTAAGAAGCCAAAGAGTTTGGCGGCACCTTGACCAGCAGAGGGCAGCGCGGCTTCCTCCAGGAGGCCAGGAGGCCAGGAAGGCTCCTTCTTCCTCCGAGTGGACGGGAGGATCCCCCTGGAAGTCACCGGCGTCTTGATCCCAGCAAACTGAATTGACGGGAGGTTTTCACCTAGAAAGTCCCCTTCCGTCTCTTCCTGGGAAGCCGCTAGAGGCCCCAAACGGCAACGGCTGAAGCCAGGGCGGAAGACGAGGCAGGAGAACCAGGCGCCCCGGGTGGAGGTCGCCAGATGTGACCTGCGGGGGGGGGGAAATCTCTTGGCGCTTTCAGCCCCCGCCTGGGAAACGTTTTGCAAAACAGCAGAAAGGGGGCAGATCCATATCCTTCGGCAGCTGCCAGGCGGATGTTGTCGTTGTCTGCAGTCTTGTCGGGCTGCCCCCCCCCCCCCGGCCTCCTTCCCTCTGGGCTCCTCAAGAGGGGCAAAAGGCCCGGCCCCCTCCCCCCATGCCCACTGATGCCCACACTCGAAACCCTCTGCCTCTGCCACGTTTGCAGCGCCCCCTTCTTTCCTAGGGCTGCTGGGGGGAATAGTAGCTGGGCCTCCCCCCCAGCCCCCCCACGGCTTCACCAGAGTCAATCTCCCAGGCTGCCCAGCCCACCAATTACCAGGGGACAGAAGGAAGAAACCGCCCACCCCACCCCCTCCGGCTGGTTCAGCTGCGGCAACAGTCGCGGGTGAAATGCTCCAAAGCCTGAAGCCTTTTCTGAGCCTGCAAAGGTAAAGGGTTTTTTTTTTTTACTTTTAAAAGCATTTTTTGATACCGGTTCGGACAAACCACCCCAAGCCGGTCGCATTTCACCCCTGGGCCCAGCCCTTCTGCCCACCGGTGCCAGTCACCAAATCCACTGGTTTAAGAAGAGCCACTTGTGGCTTTTCGTGGTCTTCTGAGCACCTGACGACCGGTGGATCCGTTTCATTTCCCCCCAAGAAGCTGATCTCCCGCTAAACCCTCGAGAGCCCCCGGAAGGGGCTGCTGGACCTGGGCACCAACTCAGCCGCTCCCGGCCTCTGCCGTATTTCTGCACCGGAGCTCCAGATGTTTCATTCCCAGACTTCCTAACGGGAAGTAGCTCGTCCCGGACGATCCCCATCCCAGCAGCAATGAGGACAGAACAGCTGGGGACGCAGGGATCTCCCACCCCACTGCTCCCCGCCCCTCCATCCTCAGAGAGACAAGGAGGGCCGGCAGCCTTCCTCAGAGCGAGCGGGGAGGGAGATGGCGAGTCTCTGGGTCCCACCTGGGTCAGCAGAACAGGAGCAGGCCCCTGGAAAGGGAGGGGGCTGAGGGCAGGATGGGAGGGGGACAATAAGAGAGACCCTCCCCTTTAGCCCCTCCCTCAAGAAACCTGCAAGGGAAGGGTGGCAACAGGGGGCTCTTACCTTGTTGGGCTTCACCGCCCTCTGCAGGTTCTCGATCCACTTGTCCCTCTCGGCAGCCGAGCGGCAGGCGAAGCACTTGGTGCCCGAAGACGTCGTCACCTGGGCAGGAAGAGGAGTGAGCTGCGCTCTGCACATGCCCAGGAGCCCCCGGCCCACCCTGCCGAGACGCCCCAGACCCCACCTCAAAGCAGAACTCCTGGCCCAGGATGCTGCTGTGCACCGGCTTGATGAGGGAGTCCTCGTCCAGGTTCAGCTCCAGGGCTTCGGCTGCACTGCTGGGGCTCAGTAGGGACTCGTGGGAATGCGACTCCTTGAAACTCTGCATCAGGCGGGCCCTGCGGGGGGGGAGGGGGGGCAGCACAGTCAGTCAGCGGGAAGGTTCTGGCTGGGGGGGTGTGTGGACAGGAGAGGGCCACGGGGAGCCGGGCTTCGGCTGACCCCTCGCTCGGGGGTACCTGGCATCTGCGCCCCAAAGGGGCATCTCTGCAGCGGGGGGGAAATCCGGGAGTCGACCTCAGCAAGGTGGGGGGGGAGAGGGAGTGCGGGCACCGGGCAGAAGAGTCTTGGGGAGCCCCTCTGGACCCTGGGGGGGAGGCTCTGGGGCCCCCAGGGGGCCACGGGGCGGGGGAGAACCTGGGTCTGCCCTTCGCACAGCCAGCCGAGCTCCGGAGCCCCTTCCCAGAGGGAGCCGGCAGAGTCCGTGTGCGGCTGCTCCCCCCTCCTTTCCCCATGGCATTTCTGCTCGGAGCTGCCGCCCCCAGCAGGATATATTTAGCCCAGCAGCGTACGTGGAGGCAGCTCCTGCGTGTCGGGGCTGCCGTCAGCCAGAGGGGGGGAAGGCAGGCAGGCGCTAAAAATACCCAGGGCACCCCGGCCTTGGGGGGCAGGCAGGCTGGGCAGAGGGGGGCCCCCAGGGGAGCCAGAAGGGCCACAGGGCGCCCTGGGCCGCGAGGGAGCGTCCGCTCAGCCCTGGGGGCCCCCTCCCCTCCACCGCCTACGGAGAGGAGCGGGACCGCCTGGGCCCACCTGTCGTGGTCAGCGCTCCGGAAGCGCGGCAGCATCTGGCGGAAACTGCTGGTGCGGTCCAGCTTGGGCTGGCTCTTCGTGCGCTTGATGGAGCTCTTCAGGCGGCGACTGAGGAAACCCTGTTGCTGCAGGCGGAGGGGCGAGAGGCCGGTCAGGCTGCCCCAGCGCACGCACACACATCGGGGGGTTCCCTGGGGCCCCCAGAGACGGCTGCCGGGGGGGCTCTGGGGCCCAGCGGGGAGCGACCACCAGCCCTCCCTCTTCTGCTCGGCGGGAAGGGCCCTTTTCCTCCCCCGAAAGGCTCGGCCTTCTCTCCAGCAGCCCCCCCCCCCCCCCCCGCCCCCCAGGAAAGACTTGGGCTGGATAAGGCCCGGCACGCGGAGATTCCCACGGGGACCCTGGCTGGGGAGCCAAGAGGCCAAGTGGCTATCTCAGCCGGGGCCCACTTGCCACAAAAGCCGCTCGGGAAGGCAGCCCTTTCGGGAACCGCCCTCCGTCCGTCCCAGCTGAGCTCAAGGAAGCTGGTTTGAAGCCAGCCCATCTTCTCCCGAACCCGCCTTTCTTTCCTGGTGGCCTCCTTTCCCTGCCCTTCACAACTTTGCCTGGGCCAGCAGCCATTCTGGCGTCCCTGGATCCAAGATCTTCCCTGCCCCAACCTCTAGTCCTAACCACTTTTCCTAGGGGGAGGCAGGAGGGCCGCCCCAGCAGGGGGGGGTGTGAGGCAGAGGGGGGAAGCAGCTCCTCCTTCTGCCCCCTCCCCTCCCTCAGCCCCACTGGGGGCCGGTTCCTTTCTTCAGCCCTTCCTTTGATGCCTGCCCCCTGCTGAAGGAAAAGGGAGGGGGGCTCAGGGGGAGGACAGGGAAGCCCTGCGGGGGTGGGGGGTCACTCACCGAGGAACGGAAGGGGGGTGCTGGCGGGGCGTCCATGTTGATGCTGTACTGCTTGCCCCCCGGGACGCTCTTCCTGCGGGAACGGCTGGCGTGGTACTCTGGGGGGGGGGAGAAGGGCAGCGTTCAAGGGGCACCCCCACACGGAAGGACTTCGGGGAGGGGGGGCAGCAAAGCCCCAAGAGTACGTGTGGGAGGGGGGGCGACAGTTTACCACCAGTGGGCTGCAGGACCCCCACCCCAGCCCTCCCCAGCTCCTCCCACCTGCCCCCTCCTCACCCCCCCCCCTGGACAAGAGGCTCCCTGTGTCTTTCCCCCCCTCCTGCCCAGAGAAGCCAGGGCCCTTTCCCCCTCCTCCCCCCCAGGCCTCCCCCCAGGGCCAGTACAGGGGCCCAGCCACGGTTCAACCTGCCCTTATGAAGAAGACCTGAAGTGAGGGAAGCCTCAGTGGGCTTAAGGGGGGGGGGGAATCCTCCTTTGGGGGGTCCCCGAATTGGCAACCGGGAATCGCAGGCACAACCCCTCTGTTGTGGGGCAGGCTCTGGAGAAGGGCCCCAAAAGATGGGTGAGGGGACCCCGAGGGAGCCCCCCACCTGCGCAGGCTCTGCCCATCAAAGACCCCTCCCTGCCCCCTCTGGGGCCTCTCCATCCCATCCTTCCCTCGACTTCATTTGGGCGTGTCGTGGAGCAATTCCCCCCCCTGGCTGCCTATGGGGGGACCCCCAGGGGCCTTCTGGGTGCAGCCCCATCATGCCCCGGCCGTAGAAAAGCCCCCCTTGGAATTTGTCCATGGGGGGGGGGATTTCCTACTTGCTCCCTGGGAATCTCACCACCGCTGGAGCCTTTGGGCACTGCCAATCGATGCCTTTGGTGGGGGATTTGTTCAAAGGCCTCCCAGCCCCCCCAAAGGCAGCTCACAAGCAGCCCCCCTACCCCGACCAGAGGAGCCCAGAGCGGCCGGAGGAGCCGCTGAAGGGGCCCCAAAGGCCCCTGAGGGGACGTGGGTGTCCAGAGGCCCCCCCTGGGGCAGCTTCCCAAGAGGCCCAGAGGCTGCTCGGAGGGGGGAGGGGGGAGGGGGGTGCCAGGGGCAACGAGGGGCAACGATGGGCAACGTACAGAAAGTCTGCAGGTAGCCCCCCCCCCCCAAGGAGCCCAACCCCGTTGGAGGCCAGTCAGCCAGGGATGGGGAGGGGAAGGAGGGATGGGGGAGATATTCACCCCCATCCTCGTGGCCTTCAACCTTCAGGAGCCCCTGGCGGCCCCCTGCCTGGAAGGAAAGCCCCTTCTGGGGTACAAGAACAGCGGCCCCCTCCAGACTGGGGTTCAGGAAGGCCGAGGGGGGCACAGAAGCCCTACGGGCCGGAGCTGCCCCCCAATGGGGCTGGCTGGATGCCAAGCCTGGGTCTCCGCCTGCCCCCCTTGCCTGGACCATTGGCACCCCAGGAGTCGCAGCCCCCACCCCAAAACGAGGCCCCTTGAGCAGCACCAGCTGCCCGGATATGCACGGAGCCCCTCCCCCACCCCGTGCGTACTGGCACAACGCAGAGCCACCCACTGGGCTCTGCCACCATCTGTCTTGCCCGCCTGCCTGCTGCTCCGCCATGCCAACCCTGCGAGCCGCTGCCTCTTCCCCAAGGCCTCAGCAGCCCCCCTCCCCCCCTCCCCCCCTCCCC